TTTTTGAGAGAGAGAGAGAGAGAAAACGAGAACAAGTGGGGGAGGGGCAGAGAGAGAGAGTCAGAGGATCTGAAGCAGGCTCCGTGCTGACAACAGAGAGCCTAATGTGGGGCTCAAACTCACAAACCATGAGATCATGACTTAAGCTGAAGTCACCTAGGTGCCCCTATCATTAATAATTTTTGAATAACATATTTAAGATGTATATAATTTTACTAAAATAAGAGAATTCCTTATTATCTCTCATAGACAGTCCATAAGAGGACCACTTCAGGGTTAGTTAATTCAATGGAAAGAGCACTGAAAACTGAGATTTCTTCCATTTTTCTTCTGTGTCAATCTCAATTTCATGACTTTTTATGGCCAAAGATGTTTCATGTGTTATGTATCACACAGCAATCCCCAAAGGCCAAAAAGGGCAAAAAAGATATCCCTTTCCTGTTTGTTTTGTTTTTTAATATATAAAACTTTGCCAGAAACATCCAGCAGACTGCCCCTCATGTCTCATTGACCAGAATTGGATCTTATTTCTTTACTTGCCTGGTGAGGGAAATTACTATCATTTTGGCCTGAGTCCCATGAGTTGTCGTGGGTTTGGGTGGAGGTGTGGACAGTACTAGAAAATGTGTGTATAGGAGCGGGCACTGGTCTGCGGGGATGCTTGATGCCCCACTGTGTAAAAGGCAGAGAGTGTATGCATTTTTAAATAATAGGGAAATTCACTTGCATCATGATTGTTTCCGGTAAATACTATATAACAAAAAGCAAGTTAGCCTCTTTGCAAGAAATTAAATTTAATGAGAATCTATATTCCTTTCTGAAACTTGTCCTTCCTGCTTGAAATTAAAAACAAAACTTTTTCAGTATACGTTTGAGTATGATTTAGGTTTTGATTAATTTGAAAGAAACGTAAATGTAAATTGTACAAATAGCATTCTGTTCATCTTTAGGGATGCGGTAGAAACTCAGAAAGCCATCATTCAGTGAAGCACTACAAGAATCAGAGAACAGAATCTCATTGTATTACAATTAGTCTGAGCACATGGATTATATGGTAAGTTAGATTTTTGTCACTACTTGTGTCCACTACAAAAAATATCTTCTCTCCAAGCTTTACAAGGTAAAATATTTAAAGTTGTTGTACCAGCTGATGCTTTTTAGCCTGAACACAATCTTTAGAATACTGTAAGAAAATTAACATTACCCATGAATATAAAATTTAAATAAGAAAAAATTTAGTCATCCCTTTACTTTTCTTTAGCATTTTCTTGGTAGGGTAAAGAAACATCCTTCCTAGCTGATTTTTCATAATGAACTTGCTAATACAGAATTCTAGAGTTCTTGAGAAGGAAGGTACTTCAGGCGGTCAAGTGGTTTGGTGATTCCCTGAAGGGAAAGGGAAAGCCTGGGCATATGTAGTTTGTAGAAACTCCAGTGATTTTACTACTTAACCCTGCTGGGAACCAAATCCAGTTCCCCCACGTTGCATAAAAATGATACTCATGTTGTACCAAGTATCATTTACTTTTTTCTGGTTACAAAGTAAAAATCCAGGCACTAAAACAAGTGTTTTGATTCCCTGGTTTCTTACCAGCATAACACACTACTACAGTGGCATAAATGGATACTGTATTGAAAAGCTTTTTATATGTTTTGCAACAAAAATCTTCTAATTGGAATCTTCAGACTCCTACAAAAGTTTTCAAGTTCTCCTTGAATGAATTTCCGGAAGTTTTCAAGTTTTCTTTAACACAAAACTGTTTTAACTTTGTGTTTTCATTTCAGGGACCTAAAGGTAATACAAGGATGTTTCGGCTTATAGAAGAGTTAATCACCTTTTTTAATCCAGGGCACGGGTCAGGTGCTTGCCCCATCTGTGTTTTTGCTGTTGTTGGCCCCAAGTAACAACACTGGGGAGAATGAGGAAGGCACAGAGGCGATGTCCTATGTAAACGATGCAGTGGAGCCAAGGGAGAGGAAGAGGCTGCCATATGTGGCAGCTCAGCAGATATTTCTCTGTAATCTGAACAGAGCAGTGGTCTCAAACTATGGGGTGCATCGGAATCACCAGGAAGGTCTTGTTGAAATAGATTGCTGGGTCCCAGGCCTAAAGATTCTGCTTTCGTAGTTCTTGGGTAGCACCTAAGAATTTACACTTCTAACAAGTTCCTAGGTATTGCCAGTGCTGCTGGTCTGGGGAGCCCGGTTCCAGGACCATAGGAATAGAGGAAGGTGGAGGGGGAATTGAGTGGTACCTGGTAGAATAGGCTCATTTCAAGTGAGTCTATGTCAGAACTTGTGTTATAGCTCTTAGGACCATAAAGATGGTGTGAATCGTGATGTAATTTCAGGGGGGAAAAAACACCTTACCTAGCATAATATTGTTAGTTTTAACTTTATTGATTTTATAATTTTTTATGCTTAATTGTGTAATTTTGCTTTCATAGGTAAATAGAGTTATAAGGGTGATCAATTTATTGGGTTTTGTGAGTGGAATGTTGGATTTATATTATAATGAAAATAACTTAAGTCACATTTGGGGAGTCTGTAAAATTATTTTCCTTTTTTAAAAAAAATTTTTTTCAACATTTTTATTTATTTTTGGGACAGAGAGAGACAGAGCATGAACGGGGGAGGGGCAGAGAGAGAGGGAGACACAGAATCGGAAACAGGCTCCAGGCTCCGAGCCATCAGCCCAGAGCCTGACGCGGGGCTCGAACTCACGGACCGCGAGATCGTGACCTGGCTGAAGTCGGACGCTTAACCGACTGCGCCACCCAGGCGCCCCAATTTTTTTTAACTTTTATTCATTTTTGAGAGACAGAGGGTAAGCAGTGGAGGGGCAGAGAGAGAGGGAGACATAGACTTGGAAGCAGGCTCCAGGTTCTGAGCTGTCACCACAGATCCCGATGTGGGGCTTGAATGCATGAGCCATGAGATCATGACCTAAGCCGAAGTCAGATGCCTAACTGTGTGAGCCACCCAGGCGCCCCTAAAACTATTTATTTTTAAAATGATAATACATTTTGGTTGTTGTGAGGAATTAGAACATGCATGTAAAGCATTTACAACGTAGTAGATGCTCAAGTAAGTGGTTTTAGTTATTTCTGATGAAAGCAAGTAGAACTAGTTTATGGTGAGCTGTCCTCTTTACTCCAAATTCACTGCCATTATGTGGTTTTTCTTTACATTTCCTTTTTGTACCTTAAAGTTACAATATATTTTATAACACGTAAAAATTAAATAGCAATGTCAGTAAAAATTCCTTGACATTTCAGTTTTTTTTTTTTTTAATTTAGAGAGAAAGAGTGAGCAGGGGAGTGGGGCAGAGAGAGAGAGAGAGAGAAAGAGAGAGAATGAACCTTAAGCAGGCTCCATGCTCAGCATGGAACTGACACAGGGCTCGATCCCACCAGTCAGATCATGACCTGAGCTGAAATCAAGAGTCAGTCAGATGCTCAATTGACTGAACCATCCAGGCACCTTGCAAATGAGCAATTTTTATTATTTTATGCAATAGTTACATAAGTAAAATTTGAGCACATATTGTAGTGTAAGCCTGGTAACTGTAACTACATTGTTTGGATTCCATCATGGTCTATTAGAAAAGATATTTTGGGAAGGTTTTCTGTGACTTGTTTCTTTCACAGATTTATCTGTATGCAAGTGATAGAGTAATGTTTGTATTTTGAGTATGAGTAAATATTTGACTGCATTTTGAGTGCTATTTAGAAAAGGAACCCATACCTAGTTTATAGCCGTGATCCCAGGACCACCAATAATTTAAGAATATTGCGAATATGTAAAGTGGTGTTGGTATAACATGTTTATAAAACACTTAAAAAAAAACATTTTCAATAGGTTCAAATATATTTTCTTGTTTGACCATTAGATCTTATGAAGATAAAGGAAGCAGGTAATGATAGTATATAGAAAAAACCTTTCTTAAAACTATATGCACTAATGAGTAAACTTAGTGGAGGACAGTTTTCTAAAAATGAATGTGCTTTTGAAAATCTCTTTGAAAAAAAAAAGTATAAAAAAAATAAAAAAAAAAAGAAAATCTCTTTGAGAGCCCTGTCTTCTGAACGAAGCCCAAACACAATAAAATTCTTATCCAGTCTTCCCCATCTCTGTAAATGGAAACTTCATCACTTAAGTATTCAAGCCAGAAGCCTAGCAGTTACTTTCTTTTCGATGTTATTTTGTTTTTTTAATTCTTTAACAAAAGTAGACAAAATGGTATAATGAAATCCTCTGTACCCATCACCCAGCTTTAAACATTCTCAACTCACAGTAAGTCTTGTTTCCTCTCGACCAGAATTTCTCAGTCTCCATACTGTTGTCATTTTGGCTGATAATTCTTTGTTGTGACAGGACCATACTGTATGTCGTAGAATGTTTAGCATTCTCTACCCAGTGGATGCCAGTAGCACTTCCCCAGTTGTGACAACCAAAAATGTCTCAGAATATTACCAAATGTCCTCTGGGGGGCTGGGGGGCAAAATTGCTTCTGTTTGAGAATCACTGACAAGCCCTCATCCATTTCCCCCTTTCCATGGCAGTTATTTGGATACTTCTCTGTTCCTTCCTGAAATATGTGTAAATTAAATCTGTTCATTTTTATCCAAATCCACTGCTTCTACCTTGGCCTGCTTCTATTCCCTATTCCCTCCATCTGACATTAGTCAGAGTGCTGTTTGTGAAATGTGAATGGGATCACGTCACTTCCCTGCTTACAAAACTCCTCATGACTTTCCATTACACTTAGGATAAACTACCAGAACTTTAATTTGAATAAGGCTGTGCCTGAACTGTCTCCTGTTTATTTCTCTAGACTTCCCTAATGTCTCACCCTAGGTATACTTTTTTGCCCCTCCTTCATTTAAGTATAAGACTCGATAAATATCAACTTTATTACCTGGTGTGCAACATTATTGAACATGCTTTCATAATATTTGCTTACATTTTATATTTTTTCAGGTGTTACGAATGTGATGAAAAATTATCAACACACTGTAATAAGAAGGTTTTGGCTCAAACAGTTGATTTTCTCCAGAAACATGTTTCTAAAACACAAACAAGTAAGTTAAGCAATTGCTAAAGAAATTTTTATTAAAGTATGATATTTTATATTTACTTTAAAATAGATTTACTTGGGGTGCCTGGGTGGCTCAGTTGGTTAAGTGTCTGACTCTTGATTCTGGCTCAGGTCATGATCTCATGGTTTGTGAGATTGAGCCCCGCATCAGGCTCCGCACTGACAGTGCTGAGCCTGCTTGGGATTCTCTCTTCCTCTCTCAAATAAAGAAAGAAAATAACCCCCCCCCCCCCCCCATGCACAAGTGTGTGCGCTCTCTCTCTTTCTCTCTCTCTCTCAAAATAAATAAACATTAAAAAAAATAATAAAATAATTTAAGGGCACCTGGGTGGCTTAGTTGGTTGAGCATCCGACTTCGTCTCAGGTCATGATCTTGAGGTTTGTAAGTTTGAGCCTTGCATCAGGCTCACTGCTGTCAACCTTTTAGCACAGAGCCCACTTTGGATCCTCTGTTCCCCTCTTTCTGCCCCTCCCCCACTTGTACTCTCCCAAAAATAAATATAAAAATTTTTAAATATATATTTATATTGACTTTATGTGAGCTTTTCATATAAAGAGTTCATAAATTCATAAATAGTACCCTAGATTTTACTTTGACCTCATAGCACAAGTGCCATGCGTTCCTAAGTAGCACTCTTGTGATGTTATCTTGTGTTATATTTACATGACTAATATGAGAGGCCAGACAGGGTAGTGACTAGATTGTGGGCTTCTGAGTGAAACAGTGCTGAGTTTGAATTCAGGCTCCACTTAAGTTACTTATTGTCCATTGTCTTTTACTGCTTAGTTTACTTTTAAAAATTAGGATGATTGGGTGCCTGGGTGGCTCATTTGGTTGGGCGTCCAACTTCGGCTCAGGTCATAATCTCACAGCTCATGAGTTCGAGCCCTACATCAGGCCCTGTGCTGACAGCTCAGAGCCTGCTTCTGATTCTGTGTCTCCCCCTCTCTCTGCCCCTTCTCCACTCACACTCTGTATCTCTCAAAAAATAAACATTAAAAAAATTAGGATGGTAACTCTATTGTGTGGGGTTATTGTGAGGCTTAGAGATAATGTTTTATAAAAATTTAGAATAATGTGTGTAGAAATGCTAGCATAGTGCCCAACACATATTTGTGAGGTGACATTTGTTATGTAATCATAGTGTAGTTCTGACACTAACTCCCTGGAGTTGGCTGACCCTACAGATTAAGGGCTTAGTCCCCCCACATGATTGCCCTCACTTCAGACACCATCCTCAAGCCCAGAGGTCCTCAGGCCATTCACATTTCTGACAAACTGGCTATAAATTTAGGGGTTCCCATGATCCTTCTGAGGCTCAGTAATTTCCTAGAATGACTCAGAGAACTCAGGAAAGTGTATACTTAAAGTCAGTTTTATTATGATAGAAAAAAAAGAGATACAAATCAGGACAGCTAAAAGAAGAGACACATAGAGCAAGTACTGGGAAAGTCCCGAACATGAATCTCTTGTGTCTTCTTCCTGTGGAGTCAGGACACATCACCTTCTCGGCACATCAATGTGTAACCAGGAGTATTGTTAACCAGGGAAAATTATCTGGAGCTGTGGTGGTCCAGAGTTTTTATTGGTGCTTCATGGACTAGGCATCAATTGAATCATTGGCCACATGCTTGAACTCAGTCTCCAGTACCCCTATCCTCTAATCACACATTGGTCTTTCTGGCATGGCTAGCTGCCATCCTGAGTAATCTTATTAGCATAAGCTGTCTAGGAGCTCACCAAGAATAAGAAAGACACTCCCGTCCCTCTGGAAATCCAAGGATTTAGAGAGTACTTTTCAGGAAGCTGGAGGCCAAAAGGCAGACAAATCCTTTATTATACAGTAGTAATGTATTATATATTATATACTTTGTTAACTACATATGTTACCTGACATACAAATAATATATAATACATGTTAATATAAGGAAACCATCAACAAGACTAAATGGCAACCAACAGAATGGAAGAAGATATTTGCAAATGACATATCAGATAAAGGGTTAGTATCCAAAATCTGTAAAGAACTTATCAAACTCAACACCCAAGAAACAAATAATCTAGTGAAGATATGGGCAAAGACATTGAATAGACACTTCTCCAAAGAAGACATCCAGATGGCCAACCAACACATGAAAAAATGCTCAACATCACTCATCTTCAGGGAAATACAAATCAAAACCAAAATGAGATACCACCTCACACCTGCAGAATGGCTAACATTAAAACAACTCAGGCAACAAGATGTTAGCGAGGATGTGGAGAAAGAGGATCGCTTTTGCATTGCTGGTGGGAATGCAAGCTGGTGCAGCCACTCTGGAAAACAGGATGGAGATTCTTCAAAAAACTAAAAGTAGAACTACCTTGTGACCTAGCAATTGCACTACTAGGCATTTATTCAAGGGATACAGGTGTGCTGTTTTGAAGGGACACAGGCATCCCCATGTTTATAGCAGCACTATCAACAATAGCCAAAGTATGGAAAGAGCCCACATGTCCATCGATGGATGAATGGATAAAGAAGATGTGGTATATATATACAATGGAGTATTACTCGGCAATCAAAAAGAATGAAATCTTGCCATTTGCAACTGTGTGGATGGAACTGGAGGGTATTATGCTAAGTGAAATTAGAGAAAGACAAAAATCATATGACTTCATTCATATGAGGACTGTAAGACACAGAACAGATGAACATAAGGGAAGAGAAGGAAAAATAATATAAAAATACGGGGGGGGGGGAC